GGATTAACCTTTGTTTCTGTCTCTTTTTGCTTTGGGCTGCCATCATTCTATGAATGTATCCATGAGAACAATTCTTAAAGCTCCTATTCCACAGCAGACCTGCCTCATTGTAACTTCTAACAAAATGTTTTGTAGGAGGTGGAAGAGAGAATAAATCTAAGACTCCTTTTTCCCAGGCTATTAATCCTGGAAAACAGTTGTTGAATCTTGAATACAAGGTTTAATCTGAATCTTAAGAAAACTGTGTTCCCTGTACATGGGTAAGGGCAAGTGAAGGTCAGTAGTTCTGGATGACAAACAGTTGTATTTTATTAGTCTACCAGTTGTGTTGAGTGAGGGAGGAGAGTGCTGTATCTTAGTGCTGTTACCTAGAGACACTGAAATTGTGTGAAGTATGGGCTTACTGCAGAGAACTTCAGTTACTTTGGTTGTTGCTGCAGGAGGACATCCTTCTAGTTTGAAAATAACAGCTTGTGAACAACTAAATTTTTTGCAAAGTTGGGAGTTTCAGTGGGGGGAAAAAAGCACCTCCTGTTCTGGATGAAGATCTAGCAAGAAAAAGTATGCAACTAAGAGCTTTAGAGTGTAAATTGTGTACATACAAGTTATTCCTGAATCTCTGCAACTGGCTTTGTCACACATCGGTTCAAGTATGAAGATATTACCTACAAAAAGACTCCTACTTGAGGAAACCATGGTACAGGAGAAAAAGAATCATCCAGAAGAGAGATCCCTCATTTTTGGGAGGGGTAAGGGGGAAGAATGTATTTCGTGTATACAGAAACTGGCTGAGTTTACATGATGCAGCTAATGGTTAAACCTGCCAACTAAATATGACATACTGTTACAATTGAAACAAACTTACATGCTGTTTAGTTAAATCTTGATGGTGCCCTGTGTCTAGTAAAAATTTGATCCTCCAAATTGTTTTATTCTCCCCCATGTTGTAATCCAGGGTCAGCTGCTATGCACAATGTCTGTGTTTTGTAAAGTGTTTGCTGACTTGGATGTTTCTTTTGAATCTGCAACTGCTTCCTGATTAATTTGGCTAAGACCACCCCTGCTCTCTTGAGTTAAGATTTAGTGAAAGGTATGCTGTATGCAGTTTACAGATGCATTCTCAATGTTACAAGTTAAGTTGCAGGGGGAGCAAATTCTTTACAATAAGATGGTCCATTTTTAATCTATATCTCTGCCCTTGTTGTACATCAGGAGCATGTTTTTGTTTTTCTCAAACTCTTTAGAAATACCGTTCAGAATAAACGTGCACTATTTGAGTTATGTCATTTACAACTTGTCGTGTGCATTTTTTTGCTGTCCAGCTGTTTCCTTCAGAAATCAGATGGAGACTATTCCTCAGATGTTTCATAAACTGTGTAACTCGGAAGATTTCTAACATGGACTGTGTGTTGGGCTGCTGGGATGAATGCCTAGGGTGTCTGACAACTGTGCAGAGTGAGGTCTGTTTGTTTTCCCTGAAGTTACGAGCCTTTCCTCAGAAGTCCTGTCTTGTGGGGTAGGAGGGAGGAGAGCAAGAAGAACTGTTCTGGAATATATTTGATTGATTAGTGAGCAGTTTGGAAACAAACAGACCAGGTGTCAAGAACTCTGGTTTGGGCTTTATAGGTTAAAAAGTTTAAAGTATTCAAATTAGCTGCTAGTCATTGCAAATCTTGACCACAGCCTTTGAAAAGCTATGATCCATATTTGTAAAAGTGACTGGTCTTAACATCCAGCACTGACTTTTCTCAGAAAGGTATTTAAGTAAAACTCATCTCTCTTCTTAACAATTCCAGTCTCTTCTGTTAAAGCCATTTTTTGTCTGTAATTTCACCAGGCTCCTTTTCTGCTTTGAAGTGCCATTTATGAAGTGATGAAGTTGTACTCTGGCCCAGGTTTGGAGGAAAATAAGAGTTTCCCTAAATCTTGTACATTGCATTCTATTCACTTATTTAAGTTCCTCTGGAAACTGCTTTATCAACAGATGGAGTTGCTGCATTCATTAGAATAACTGTGCATAAGCAAAGCTCAGGCTCTGAAACTTGTCTGTAATCTTGAGTGGCTGCTTCCAGCTGTCTTCCCCGACCTCTGCTGGAGGGCCTGGAAGGCACAGCTGGAAGTGAACTGCTACCAGAAGTGCAACCTTCATCACTCCAGCCTCACCAGCAGCTGCAGAGGCTGGAAAACCTTTGCTGTACTTAAACTGCTACAGCTGTTCTCCAAACCATCTGGCTTTTATTGCTTTGTGTTTCTTCTCCTTCCTCATTCCAGTTGCCTCTTAGAACAACCTGTACAACACCAGACAACTGAGTTGTCCTTTACAGGGAAACCAACAGGTACTCCTGATCATTTGTCTTGTGCTTTCCCAAAGCTGTGCTGGTTCTACAGGCACTCCCATTCCCCTCACTGCCTTCAGAACTTGGGTATTTATGGCACCTCTGTAATCACTCAGATGTGCTGTTGTCTCTAATTTGTTACTGGTACAACTACTTCAAGAACAGTTACCACACCAGGATCGAGTGAGTGAGTGGTCAGTCATTCACTTCGTGTGGAACACTGGGATTGTTCTGTCTTTTCATCAGTTCTCTGTTCCTGTGAGGACATTATCTTCTGATCCTGCAGTATCTTGGATTACTTCAAAAAATCCCTGTCCCAAACCTCTTATGTGAAGTCCTTTTGAGAATCTACCGAACCAATCTTGTCAGATGAGCATTGTCATCTGTTTCTGGCAGTGTTACTTTCCTTTCCATAGGGGTTTTCTAAATCTATTCAGCCCATCTAATCCAGATGCTTTGTAAGAGACAAATGTCCTGCCTTGTGTTCTTTTCTCTTGCCCCTAAAGAGGCATCAATTCAAACAGATAATGGAATGGTTACTCTATCCCTCTCTTTTCATTCTGCCTCCTTCCCTCCTCCTCAGTGCTTTAACACTGTAAAAGCATTCAGCTTTGCTGCCATTCTGCCCGAAGGCATTGTGGCACCACCAGCTGAAGCTCTCTAAACTGCTGAGTTGCCAGCTTTCTTTCACTCCCTTGAATGTACATGACCCATAGTCCAAGAAACTCCTGCACTGGGAAAGATGCACTGACCTGTGTTCTGATTGTCTCTCAGCTGCTGGATCACATCATACAGACTTAGGCCAGTACTGCTCACTAATTATTGAACCCAAACCTGCACTACAGCCAAGAATTTAAATAATAATAATAAAAAAAAATTTTAAAAAGTTGCAAAGTTCTTGATTAAGATTATCTTAAATAAAGCTACGAAAACTTCTTGACTTGTCAAAAGAATATTAAATTATCCAATGTAAAGCTTTCCTCACAAGTATTTGTACAAAAGGTCTTCATTTTTTTTTAACCATCTTGCCATATAATTGTAAATTTATATTCTCCAAGAGAAACAGGTATGTTCTTGTTGTATGTGATAGTCACCTGTGGATTTTTGCCTGCTGCTGCATTTTTGCCTCAGTATTTCAGATATTTAACCCTGTACTGGTGTTGACCACTTATGACCTCAAACACTGTAGATCACAACCTCGTGTCAGAATGTAAACTTGGTTTTGCTGCTTTGGGTGGGGGTGCCTATTTAGTGAAAATCTTCACCAAAAAAAGCACACTACCCTTTAGAAGAGAAATCTCCCCCCTCAGTTTATATTGGAATAAATTGATGGAGCAGTGGCATTTCAGATTTCACTTGTCTTCCAGTTTGGCTGTGTCATATCAGAACCAAAGATGATGAAAAGTGAAAAAGTGCATTTACATTCCTGCTTTACGCTTTCAGGCTGGTATTTATAGTAATGTTAGAATTCCTCTGCAAAAACAGCTTGGGCCTCAATTTTCTTCACAGCTCGCAAATGGGCTTTTTGCTTAATGTCAGCTGCGAGGTTATTTTGCAAGTGGCAGCTATTCAAAACAAAATGCTTTGGGTTATTGAACATCTGATTGCTGCTATGACTCATTTCAGCAGCAGCAGAGTTCTTGGACACTGCTTCAGAAACTTGTCCCTGCTCTATTATGTTGTACGAAGGCATATGGATACAAGATGCTTTCTCGAGGAAGCATTTGAGCTGGAACTGAGAATTTGCCTTATCATGGATGATAACTGAATTAGGCATTAGCACGAAGCAAAAAGTGAGGTCGTGGGGAGTTGTTAATGATCCACAGTCCCTCATTTCCTAAACTGTGATTTAACTCATGAGGAAGATGGATGGAGCGCCTTCTTCCCAGAGCTAAACATGAGCAGTGCATGTGACAAAGTTAAGGAAAAATGTCCATTAAAGCGTCACTCATGGCACAGAACAGTAACAGGACGTGGTTGGCTCCTCGTGGACAGCTCCATGTAGCAAACCTTTATTCGGCCTTATCTCTGCTGGCCGCTCCGTCGCGGATCGCTGAGTGCCGACGGCGCGGGGCAGCAGCTCGGGGCACGAACGCTGCTCTGCGCTGCTCAGGGCTCTCAGCCCGCGGCTGCGTTCGGCCAAGGGCAGCGCTCGGGTCACTCAGCCTGGCAGGACGGGATTGTTTCATCTGACAGCAACACGCACAAAATAACGCGCGGCGCTTTCTCACACGCGGTCCTTTTCCTCCCCCGGTGCCGGTGGTGCCGCTCAGCACCGACCCAACGCCGCAACCTTTCCTGTCCCGGCGCGGCCGCGGCCCCTTTAAGCGCTGCCGCCCGCCCCTCCGCGCGCCTCTTCCCGCTGCGCTCATTGGCCGCCCGGGACGCCGCTCCCCGCCAGTTCCTGTTTCGGCCACCTTACCTTGTTGACGCCAGTCTCTGCCTCCCTGCCCTCTGATTGGCCCGCGCCGCCAATGTTTGTGGCGCCCATTGGCCCGCGCCCGCCCCGCCCCGCCCAGTTGAGGGCGAGCGACGCCCCCTCCGGCCCGGCGCTTGTTGATTGGCCGCGAGGGCTGGCCCCGCGCGCGGTGATTGGCTGCGACGCGAGCAGCAGGGTGGGCTGCGCGGGCGGGCAGCGGCGCGGAGGCGGCGGCGGGGCTGGTGCGGGGTGTCCGCCCGCCGGAGGATGGTCCCGGCGCTGGGGCCGCCGCGCAGCGCGCCCGGCCCGACCGTGAGTGCCGGCCGGGGACCGGGGACGGGAGCGGCAGCGGGAGGAGAGAGACCCGGAGCGGCCGCGGCAGCGGGGCCGGGGCGTCGCGCTGGGCCGGGGCCGCGCTCGCCCGGGATGCCGGTGGGGCCGGTGCCCCTTTGTCCGGCCCCGGTGTGCCCGGCCCGGCCCGGGCAGCGGCTGCGGGGTCGGGACGGGCCGGGGCGCAGCTGCAGAGCGCGGGCGGCCCGTGGCGGGGCGGCCCCGGCGGGCGCGGCGCGGTGGCGGTGGCGGTGCCCGGGCTCTGCTGCCCGGAGTGGAGCGGCTGCGGGCCGGGGCTGGGCTGGGGGAAAGTCGGGGGAACAGCGGCGAGGGCTTGGAGAGCGGCGTGGTCTAGGCGCTGCGAGACAATCGAGCGTGAGCCCCCGATCGCGGAGTTCGCTCGGCAGGCAGCGAGAGGCGGGCGCTGCGCCGCAGCCGGGCACCTTTCCTTAGCCCGGGCACCTTCCCGCATCCCGGCACATTCCCGCATCCCGGCCCCTTCCCTCATCCCGGGCCCCTTCCCTCATCCCGGGCCCCTTCCCGCATCCCGGGCCCCTTCCCGCATCCCGGCCCTTTCCCTCATCCCGGCCCCTTCCCGCATCCCGGCCCCTTCCCGCATCCCGGCCCCTTCCCGCATCCCGGCCCCTTCCCGCTCCGTGCATGGCGGCGGGGTGCTCGTGTCGAGTGCCACCCCCACGGGATGGGATCCCCACGGGCTCAGGGAATGCTGTGCCTCCAGGGACAGCTTTCTTGCTTAGAATTCGGTCACTCGTGGCTAACGTTTCTCGTGTAGTAAGCTTGGTCTCCGAAGGAAGGAAGTCTGATGGATGTGTCTGTCTATTCCTTCTCTGCCTGCTAATTTTAGCTCTCCAGCCGATTTCGGTCGAATTTGCCAGCAGCAGGGGCTTTAAAGAGTTGGAAGGCTTCAGTTTCATGGGAATCAACATTGACAGGCACAGAAGTGTTTGTAGCTCACAGGTACTGCTCGCATTAAGGGCAGGACAGCTCAAATGCAGCTCCCTGTGACAGCTCAAATGAGCTGAGTCCATTGACATAGCTATAGCTGGATACAGCTGTGGCTCATGATGCCCCTTGTCCAGGGGAGTCTGTAGGGAAAAATTGGAAGTAAGGCAAAGAAAAAGAGAGCAGTGATGTTTAGAGTTTCTGCCCATAAGTGCAAAAATCACAAAACTGTATTTTTGCTTTTCACATAACAGCTTGGAGTTCTTTTCACATAAAAGCTTGGACTTCTGTTAGGCTTCACCTAGACATGCAATTATTAAGCACTTCTAGCAGAGATAGTGATGGCACAGTTTAGCATCCAGAAGTCAGGTGATGTAGCAGCTTGTTTCAGAGGCATTATTTGAGCTTTACTTTTAATATACAAGTAATTGGGACCATCTTATTTAAGTGACTGTGTTATGCAGCACTTGAACCAACAGCAGAGTTGTGTTGCTCATGAACTGTGTGCAGTTATCAGACAAATGGGGAGGAAGAAACTTCCTGTGAGTAAATGCTTATTATTAGAAAGATTTAGAAACTTTAATTTTTGATTTTCAATTAGTGCCATAACAATAACTCATAGGTACATTTTGGGATGAAGTACATTTGACAACTGAAAATGTGTTTGCCACTGAATGGGAAATAAGCTTAGAAAAATGCTCGTGTTGTGAGCATGATTTTTAAGGTGCTTGTATTCAAAATATCACATCAAGTATGTGAAACAGTGCAAGAACATTGCATATTTTGAAGTGTTTGGAAATTACTTATTCCCTTAGAGACTTACTTATTCCCTTAGGTTGTGGATACATGGGAGGATTTTAACGGAGTAGATGAAAAAAGGTGGTGGATCCTGGAGGAGTCTGGCAGCTGCACAGAGATAATTAGGATGTAAGTTTTTGGTAGTGGCTCAGCTGCTTTGCTGGCTGGTGTTTGAAGCAGCGTTCTGAGGAGCTGGCCAGGGACACACCCAGGGACTGTCCCTGGAGTGGCCCTGTGACACGGCTGGCCCAGCTGCTGTGTGCAAGGTGGGCTCCTGTTGGTCGCTGAAGCTCAACTGTGCTCTGAAATGTCAGAGACACCTTGGGAGCAAGAGGGCAAAGATTCTGTGAATGTGTTCTGCTGGCTGAGCTACTCCAGCTGTTCTTCACCTCTGCTCTTCTTCGTGAATGTGGGGGATGCTCCTGACTCTTTTTAGGCAGAGGAGTTACAGAGGAGCTTTTTTGAGCAGTGTTTGGTTGTTGATGGTTTCTCCCCATGTGCTGAAGTTGTAAGAACACCTCGGGCCTCCACATATTGAAGTATAATGAATTAGGCTGCAGAGAGATTGGGGATGGTGCATTCCAAGTGTTTAAGCACACTTTTAATTTGCAGAGTGCCTTGATGCAAAGTGTGTGACACTGTAACCAATCATGTCCCCCTTGGATCTGAATTTATACAATGTATGACTTGAATCTGGGTGCTGCAGAAAGAAATAGACGTGCGAGGAAGTCAAGGGCTGGGACGTGCTGGATTTGACAGGAGCCATTCTGTGGTTTAATTTTTGTGCAGTAGTGATTTTTAAGATCTTAAAAATAACTTTGTAAGTGACACCTGGCTGAGGGGAGGTATAAGAAGCATAGCATTTGATACAAAGGGTTTCCCAATGAATCATGGTTGGTTGTGTCACAAGAACTTGTGAAAAGTGCCACAAAGTCTGTGCCACTTGGAAGGACAGTGACACCTTTCAAAATAGGAAAACATGTTCCTGAGGGATTTCATTTGATTAAAGGAATCACAGACACAACTGAGATGAAGAATTATAAAATGATTGGCAATACTGTGGGTGGACAGTCCATCAGGAGGAAAGTACACTTCTTCAGAGCCCTGAGATTTATAACTGGAGTTGTTACAAAAAGATTAGGAACACTAAAGCTGTTAGATTGTATGCATGCACACATTTACACATCCATTTTAATTTAAAACCCTGGGTTGTATGCACAGCTTCACTGACATTTCCATCAGGGACATGGCTCAGTAGTGTTATTTAATTGAAAACTGTCTCATCTGGAACTCTGCACCGTGATATGTATTCAATTTTAATAACTCAAGCAGTGTTTGAGTTATTTCAGATTACAGCAAAACACGTAAAGGTCTCAACTCCTTGACTAGGAAATGTTGTGCAGTTTATGTAATGCTGACCTAACCTGCTGTTTAAAATGCAATTCCAGCCTTTATGGGTGGATATAATGTGTCCAAGGTGTACTTTGGTTTGCCACCTTACCAGTGTAGTGCCGTTGTCATGCTGGGAGTAAGCACAGAGGAGGTTCTGCTGTGTGCACAAGATTGACAAATTGTGTGTAAACTGGGCTTGTTTCCTGTGTAAAAAGCCATGGCTTTAGTCCTCCAAGGTGAATGAGTTCCTTTTGCAGCCATGACCTGCGACAGCAATCTCTTACATCAGCCACGCTGGGTGCCATTGTGGCTCAGATAAGAAGAAAGCACTGGGCTGCTGAAAATGTTCCATGCTTCCTGGTAACCAGTGCCTTTCTCACTCAGTTCCCTGAACTTCTGTCAGGTTAACTGACCAGCGTGAAAGCCATGAATTGAAATCAGCTCCATCTGAAAGCACATCTCAGTCATGCTGGTATTCTGGTACCTGAATGGGTTCTTTGGGTCCATCTCTAGTGAGGCTGGAATGATCCAAGTATGGAGCTATTAGTTTTTAGGTCTAAATCCAGGTTCCTCAGAACCTATGATCCATTTTTCCAGCTTCTGGTATGGTGGGCAATGCCATGAAAATATTATAGAAAACATTGCCCATTGGCCTGCTGACACAGTTAATAGAAGTGTAAGGGTTTTATGGGGAGAGGAGAGCTTAAAGATTTTTTTATTCTCAAGTAACTGAAGTTCAAGTGAAAATAATACTGTCCATTTGGGGTGTCTGTCTGCATCTGTAGTCTGTAATGTGGTTAGCTTCAGGGACACTTAATTCATGACAGCCTTCCACCTTTGAAGTTGGACTCTGCTTTGCTTTCATGCATCAGTGAAGCTGTTAGCTAGAAATTGAACAGAGTTCTTGTACAAAGCTTCATGCTGCAGCTCTTCTTGCTCATCTACTCCAGTAGTAAAATGGAGCTCCAGATCAGCAACATAATTTTTCCACTATTGGAGGATCCCTAATATTCAGAGATGCTTTAATTTAGGAATGTTTCAATATTGTGCATCTATAGCTTAAATCCCTCCTTCTTCCATGTAAGTCTCTCACCTGCTGGAAATTCTGGGACTTCTTGTGTAATTGGAGAAGCTTAGCTGGTTTTGGCATCATCTTGGGTCATAGTTTCACAAGTATTAAGCCAGCACTGTCACCATGAGAAGCAGACTTGTTGTTTCAGTGTACTTATTTGGGATTGTGGGGTGTCTCTGTGATCCTTTTGCAGTCAGTTTTAAGCTGCAGTGGTGTTCTCATCTGGCCTGCTGGATGAGGAGTGCCAGTGAGCCAGGGAGAGGCTGCATCTCTCAGCATTACTTTGAAGGACTTGGGGCAGCAGGGGAAGATAATCATCACAGGTACTTTCCCATTATTGCTTGGAGAAATGGGCTGATAGGAGTTTCATGCAGCTCAGCAAGGGCAGAATCCTGCACTTGGGGAAGGACAGATCAGTCCACCAGTTTACAGTGGGGGCCATGCAGCTGGAAAGCACCTTGGCAGAAAAGGACCTGGTGGACACCAAGCTGAACCTGACCCAACAGAGTGTCCTTGTGGCACAGGTGGTGAATGGGCTCCATTTGATACAGGAGTGTCAGCGAGCTTAGGGAGGTGATCCTTCCTCTGCACTTGGCACTGGTGGGGCCACACCTGGCATCTGGTGTTGAGTTTTAGGTTCCCCAGTACAAGAAAGACTTGGATGTACCATGGAGAGTCCATTGAGAGGCCACAAGGACAATTAAGGTACAAGAGCATCTCTTGTCTTGGGAGGCCAAGGGAGCTGTGATTGTTCAAC